GGGCGATTCCGATTCGAAAAAAAATTATCCGTGCCGATTCCGATACGATTCTTAAAAAATAATATCCGGTTCCGATCCGGATCCGGTTCCAGTTACAAGTTATAAAAATATTGGAATCGGAAATATTTTCATGAAAGACATAATTTATCTTTATTTCCTGCCAAAGAACAAAATTAATAGTTCAAAATTTTCTTTAAAAAGTATTTAAAAAAAACGACTTTTTTCTTAAGAAGAGATACCTTGCAATCAAAGAATGCATACGGGATGCCTGAAAACTCATTTATCAGAAAGAAACTTGCATATCTCTATTATGGTTCTATTGGATAAATTAATTTGTCTACTAAAAGTGCAAGATTCTATTAGGTTTTTATTTCTAATTACAAAGCTGTCAAACACTCCTATAGAGTATATGCTGAAAGCTTTTTGCTTCAGATTGCAAAAAGTAGCATGTAGGGCTTTTTCTTGTGCTCCTTGAATTTCGTTCCATTACATTGAGCCTCTAATATCCATGCCCATTTCGTCTTGTAATCATTTCTTCATCACGTCTGAAAAACCAAGAATAAATGATGTATTTCTTCAAAACAATTTGCTTTTTCTTTATCAAAAACTTTCATGAAAAGAAAGCTGAGTTAAGAGACGTGGCTTCGAATTTTTACGGACACTAGACTTAAAATCAATGTTTCTTGTTTCTTAAAAATGTGTAACAGATGCTCATAAAGCAAGAAAACAGGCCTGGGTTCCTAGAAGCTCACAGTAATGAAATAAATTGTACAAATTCAGAAAAAAATTCCTACATACTATTTTTTTTCGACTCGAAAAAGGACTTTAACAGTGCTTCTTTCTAGCAGTATTTGGAAATTCCATGTTTATCAACAAAAACTTGGAAGTGCCCTCTACTACGAATACAAACACTAATTCATGCAATAGAACCATAATAGAAATATATAATTACCTTTTGCGTCAACGAATTTTCGAACAGTCTGATTCGGGATGGGCGATCCCGGTATCGGAATCGGCAACTGCGATTCCAATTCCGATCCGAAAAAGAGTTTTCCTTGCTGATTCCGATACGATTCCTAAATCGTTGAAGCCGATTCCGATACGGTTCCAGTTCCAAAAAAAATCGATTTTGCCCATGCCTAAACACGGTACTTCTAGATTTCGTGATCATAGTGTTTGATAGACATTTTTTTGCACACACACTTTCTTTCAATATTTTCATAAATCTAATTTGATTATCTGCTGGTAATAATATGCCCGTTTATAATCTATAGTGTCCTGTAGTAAGCATCCACACAGGGTAGTGAAACGGTACAAATTATTTTTCGGAAAAGCTAGTTACAAAACCATTCATTAGCTTGACATGACTTTTTGTTGGCATAAATACTCTCTACTTTGAACTATTTCTTCGTGGCATTGAAGTATCTTATCCATAGGAATTTTTAGTGAGTGTTATATCCCATTTTTAGAACATAGGACTATGCTGATTAGACAAGTTAGAGGTGTGATTGACGTGAAGAGCCAAGGGTGTGGGTGTGGATGGCTGTGGTTCTTCCCTTGACTGATAGGCACCACCGCTCTCAAAAAAAAAGGTACCATACGAAACCAAAAATGGTATCGTGTGCGGTACGAAACTTAAAAAAAGTTCCGAACATGGTACAGAACTTGAAAAGAGTTTCGCACATGGTACGCAACTTTAAAAAGGTTTCGAATTCTGCAACGAAAACGAAACCTTTTTAGGGTTTCGTATGAAACCTTTGAAATCTTTAAAAAAGACTCCTAAAGTTCGGACGATCATTTTGGACGTATCTTGGATTTTTACGAAACCTCAACAAAGGTTTCGCTTTCGTTGCAAGAATGGTTTCGTGTGGCACCTTATTTTTTTTTCAGAGCACACACATGCAAAGCCACCCCATGCCTACTCAGCCACATCCACCACCACACCCACAGCCACACCCACAGCCACATCCACCACCACACCCACAGCCACATCCACCACCACACCCACACCCACACCCACACCGAAGAATATGCAGTCTGGAATTGTTTATCAGTTTACATGTAATGACTGTCCTTCGCAATATATAGGACAAACCAGTAGACAAGCAACCAGGCGCATGGTTGAACACGGCTATTGTGTAACAGCATCCAATAATGAATCAATGTCTTCAGTAACATCTCAAGTAGATTCAACTGATACATCACTACTAAGAAGGTCTGATCGTTTAAAAGAAAAAAGAACACAGACCGGAATAACATTCGGTGGTCAGTTGAATAGGAGTTCTCAATGTCGGAAGGGGAAGATCGTTCATACGAATTCGTTTAAATGTTCCGATTTAAAATCGGCTTTAGCAAGACATGCAGTAGATTTTAATCATCAAATTAATTATATTGATTGGAATATCCTGTTTAAAGATAGTTCTATTCAAAGATTAAAAGTTAAAGAATCATTAGCTATTATGGCTTTGAAACTCAATCTTAATGCAACCATCCGTTCCACTCCATTAATTATCTTTCCTGAAGGTTGTAATAAATAAAAAGAAAGTCAAGTTCAAATTTAAACAGAATATCGTAGATTCTTCCAGATTATATGATTCATCAGATATTTAAGTACAAACTGATAGTGTATATATAGGTACATTTACTTTTCTTTCCTTTGATTCTATCTGTAAATGTTTAACACATTCTGTTGAAAATGATGACTAAAGTCATTGAAAGCTCGAGTTACTTTTAGTTATGTTCTTATTGTAATCGTTATTTTTTAATCTAATAAAAAAGACGTTCTTAGCTGCTGTGAAATCAGTGTTATATATTTTCAAATGTTTGCCCATTAAATCCAATAATTATGTTCTCATTCCTATCTTGAAGTTATTTCATATTCACCTTCCTATAAGCTATTCAATTCTAGTTACTTAGGGCTGACCAAAAGTTCTAAGCCCGGTGTTTAAAGGATCTTGTTGGATAAGGTAACCTATTCATAAATGAAAAACCAAATATACTATGTTGTAGAGCTTTTTGAGGCGCGTCGAATGGTATAGAGTAAATCTTGTTTTCATAAGACTTTGAAGATACTAGAATCAATTTACTGATAGAGGACTCCATATTCACATCCACGCCCACCCATACTCACACTGATACGATGACTGGAAATGCTACATATATGAAATTGTAATGCGTCAAAAATTCTACACAATCGTATGTGAGAAAAAATATTTTGCAAATAATTTCGACTAATACCAAGGACCACAATGTTCAGTACCTATCATGCTTGAATGAGGGTGTGGGTGTATTTGTACTCGTCTATCAGTAAATTGACTCTAGTTCCTTCAAAGTCTTATAAAAACAGGATCTACTATATGCCATTCGACGCGCCTCAAAAAGCTCGACAACATGGCATATTTGATTTTTATTTCTGAATAGGTTACCTTATTCGACAAGGTCCTTTAAACACCGGGCTTAGAACTTTTGGCCAACCCTAAGTATTATTCTAATGGTGGCGACTAATTCTTCAATTTTTCGTTCGTCATTCCAAATTCCATCGTCACAGTCTATCTCGAATTCATCTTCAAATTAAACTTCGGATTTCATCAAATTATTATTAATAATGATAATTAGAATTATACAGTTATTCCAGAGAAACGTAAACGTGTTTCAGCTACATGCTGGAAGGAAATGCTACGGAACTGCTTTTGCCAGCTCAAGATGAATTATTAAATATACATTAGGCCACCGATTGTTAGGTACAGCGGCGATGCACAAAAACAGTACAAGTTCGACATTTTTTTTGTTGTGAGTAGACGATATCTGAGTTAAGTCGAACCCGGACCGGTTTTTGAGAATACACCCGAACCGAACCGAACCCAAACTAACGCTTGAAAAATTAAATATGAACCGAACCGAGTCGAACTGAGATTTAGAAAAACAAGACGAACTGAACCGAACTCGAACGGCTTTTTGAAAAATGAAACTGAACCGAACCGAACCAGTAGAAGTCGGTTCGATTCAGACTCTGAATCCTATATTAAATTTAGAAACAGTGCACCTTGTTACTAATTCCTTTGCTAAATTATATCTTGCCACTGACACGAGCCGATTCTCGGAGAGACCAACTAAGATATTTTCAAATCGAATCACCGATTTCGACAGAGCGGCAATGTCGATAGCGAAATAGCAGCCCAGGCACAAAAAATGACTGCACGACAGCGTCGCACTCCACACTTTGAGAGAACACTCGAGCAGCACATGAACAACCGTGATCTTCCGAACCATTGAAATGTTGTCCGTTGTCGAGGATTGAACCTCTGATTCGTGAGACACAAGTCTGCCAGAGTCGAACCAACATCAGGTCATGGTGATTGACAATCAGTTTCATTCATGAGCATCGCATTTGTTCGTTCTCGTGTTTAAATTTTGCAGAAGAATGTCTCATCCGCGGCACGAGAGAAGCTTCAACACCTGATGAAGATCTCTTAAACAGCACTTTGATATTCATGTGAACTTTGAATCCCCACAAACTCAACCTCACACGCCTCATTTACCCTCACACTCCTCACCTACCCTCACACCCTCACCCTCAAGACATACATCACCCGTTTGTTGGATGTTGCACTTATTGTAACAAAAAAAAACAAGATATCTGTAAAAGACACAAACACTTCGATGATGAAAAATGATATACATAGCTGATGTATACAGATCCGACTAATTTGAATCATTGATTCGAATAAGTTCGGTGTTTGTAGAATGAGCTCAAGAAGCTGTCATGAGATATGATGTCAATTTTTTTGCATTTTAAAGATATGTGTCTCATCTACACGTGTTTTGTTGTGTCATTTAAGGGTGACTATATCATATTTATCTTTTGTCATACTACAAAAAGCACTTTGGACGTGAATCAAGCATGTGTCATAGATGTTTGTGTAAATTTTAGCATTATTACCATATCATATCTATATATATGGCTTTTACTCCAGAAGAATGGAAAGAAATAAGACGCGTATATGGCAAACAACAACACTGCTTCAAATAATTTTACTACGGAAGACTATTCAACACCAAGTGCACTAATAGGGATAGCTTCCAAAGATTCCACTTCGACCTCGGATAAATCTGTGATACTGCCGAACAACGACCTAGAACTGAAAACTTATACTAGTTTTGCTAGTCCATCTGCACCTGATATTGATGATCTCCCACCAAACTATTTTGATATATCAATTGTGCCTAATGGAGCTATTTTATACCACAATGATGTTACTCCATACACAGAAGCATCGAAAGCAGAAATAAAACGTAATGGAAAAGGTGTTATTTCATTCGATCAACTTGTTGACAAGAATCCCGATCAATTATGGCTGTACTTCATGACATATCTCAATGAAAAACCACAATTAAAAGTCAACATTCATGGTTATTATACAGAAGTATTTCTACTTTCAACAAATGCGTCAGAATAAATATTTCACCAAATCTTGATATTTTTCTCCTACTGAGTACTCATAAAACATGACATACGGTGATTCCAGCTGAAAATTCTCAAAGCAAGAATAAGAAGATAGAATTAAGAAGAAGGAGAGAAATATATCGAAATTTGGTGTAATTTATTTTGCTGCATTCATGTGATCATAATGTTTGCTATATGTATCTTTTGTGTTGGTAGACTTATACGGAAACGGAAAGTTATCAGGACTCTGATGGTAATTGGCAAACTCGTAGTGTAATGAAGTCTCGTGATGTGACTGAATTTAATTTTTCCATTGATCTATCGCCTTACATTTCTGAACAATGGAGACGTGTTGCTGTTATTCCATCGGCAAAGGCGATAAGAGCTGGTGAAACCGTTACATTACGAGATGCTCTTGAACAATATACACTTTCCAACAAGAAAATCAAAGAAATAGTATTGCAAAAGCAATATCATGGCTGGAATTTAGAAGAATTGCAGAAAAAACTTATTGTATTAGTTCGTTCAACTGGTTATCAAAATAGCATTAATGTCGTAAGTAGAAAAGTAATAGTTAAATCGTAATGAAACTTATTTATCATTTATTTTCTAGACTTATAATAGAGTCAATTATCAGATTACTGCTCGTTCATCTTCAAAATTTAGCCGTTTTGCTAATTCGACTGTGATTCGTGTCTTGTGTTGTATTTCCTGCCTATGTATTATTTTTGGTCCTATTTATTATTGTTTACGTACTATAGGTTCAACGCGTGATAATATTGTTGCCGAATATATGATGATGAAGTCTGATGATACTTTTCTTCAACTTAATGCTCAAATGATTGTTAATGCAGTGATTCAGCGTTCATATAATTCGTATATAGCACATTTTGCCTAATTGTCGTATTATTCTTTTTATTGGTTTAATGATTTGAGTGAAGAAAATGATTTTTAAAATACATTCGAAAATATAAACAAAGAAAGTTATTTTCCATAGTTAGTTTGACTTTATCTAAAGTCAATGGAAGCCACACATGAGAGAAATAAGTTTATTATTCGATGAAACTTTATCCAAATTTTTCTCAAAATAAACGATAGAATTGACACTAATCAAGGTAAGGTGAATAACAACGAAATTCAGTGAAAGTGACCGAAGATGAGCGATGTCGCAAAAAGTTAATCATGTCATCTTTTGCGTATGTCTTAGGACATTTGGATCGCTGGATAAATTATATCGGTAGTAGCAAGTAAAGTTTCTAAATAGGTTTATGAAATCTGTATGACTATATTCATGTCTCGGTCGATCAAACAAAGATATGTTATTTCATATATCTTCTAACAATTTTATACAACGCTTTTATTTCTTGAAAAAATAATATTGATTTGATCAGTTTATTTATCACTCTAATCAAGAAATTTAGCAAATGACAATTAGAAAAATTGAATACAAATGCATTAAATCTGAAAACCACCGAAACGATTGAGGAAGACAAGAGTTTTGAACAAAGAAATTTTGCGTTCAGTTAAGACCCATCAAGGTTTTTAGCAGATTTGCTTTATTCAAACCAATGATTTCATATACGTGGTCAACTTATGGCTACATTCCGAAACAATATCCGAATTTTTCGAACCTTATAGAAGTTTGTTTTTCTTTTGATACAGACAGTTGCTCAAATAGTAATTGTGACAAGAGCGCATTCAGTTGTTGTAGTCGTTGTCGACAAATATTGTCTTTCGAGCATTTTTTTCATGGGTGTGGGTGTTGTTTTGTTCCTTAACGACACAACGACAGCCACCTCACTCCTGATAATGTCATAGACATCATTTGATAGAGCAAGTCGAGCTCCGTCGATGTATGTAGATTTCAAAAGTGGCAGGTCCTCTGAATCGAATAATTTCAAGAAAAACTATTGTTTTGTTTCGCGCTGTGATGAAGAACAATATGTTTGGCTTTTACTTTTTTCTGTCGTAAATCTTCTTAAAATCTAAATATGCTATTTGATAGAGCTCATCGAGCTGTATCTGACTCACAATATCTCACGGTTGCCACAGACGTCTGGGCGAATCGTCCTCAGAAAAACTCGAATCCGACGCTAACTTCACTTTCATATGAATCTCTTTATTTACTTCATTTTACAAAAAATGTTCATACAGCGCATTTAGAAATAACCACTAAAAACTAAGCGCAATCTTTTCATTAGACAGTAGATCAAATAGAAGAGAACAAGCAACTTTTATTGGTGATTTCTATTCACTTTGGCTGTATCCAATAACACATATCAGACAGGTAGCACCATCGAATAATACAAAAAGCTTGTTAGCGCAGCCCCTTTCGGGCCGAAATGTGGAACTCACGTATATTCTTCAGCTTCATTATACTAATATGCAATGTAAACATTATAAAATCACGAAGTTTTTAATTTTCTGACAGGCGCCCTTATTTTTCGTCTTCTTTGTTGCTATTCGCTCAGTATTTTTCATTTTTAACACTACTTTTTTTCTTTAATTTTACATTTTTATTACAAGAAGCATTGAATTATATGCCGAACGAAGCTGTTATATCATGCGATGGTAAATTCCGCTTTCCCGGAAATTCAAACAAAGTGACTATAGGAGAAATTTCATGGAAATTTAATCGAATGCTTTTAAGGGGTTGGGTGGGTTGGGTTGGGTTGGGTTGGGTTGGGTTGGGTTGGGTCGGGTTGGATTGGGTGGGTTCGGTTGCGTTGGGTTGGGTTGGGTCGGGTTGGATTGGATCGGGTTCGGTTGGGTTGGGTCGGGTTGGATCGGGTTGGGTCGGGTTGGATCGGGTTGG